ACTTAGTTTACATGCTTGAGCTGGAGACCATCACTCTACCCACTCAAGTTTAAGGATATTTAGTTATGTAATTAAATAAATGTCAAGATCCAATGTATTTATTCAGACATTTTTGTGTCGAAATATTATGTGATGTCTCGAATTATTTATCGGATATTATGATTTCACGAGTCATTTATTGTACACTGTTTCCTGCAGGGGGGCAAATTATATTTCATGAAATAGTGTTGTTTTTATTACCACTCCGCAAGTAGGCATTCCATTCCATATTTTGTTGAAATGACAATCGTAATCTTGTTCTCTTTGTTTCTTTAAAAACAAAAATTTATGTTGTCAAACGTAAAAATGGATCCTAAATTTAATAGCATAATATATACCGTGGAGGGGAAAAAGAGGCAAAAAATAAGAATATTCTATTAGCAGAATATCAAAATATTTATAGATTCATTCCATCCAAAGAAAACCAACTACGATCCAACTTCTTATTAGATTTTTGTATCATGATCCTTTTCTGATTACAAGAAAATTATCGACGATGGATTCTGATATGCGGGAAAGTGTCCATGCGACCTAGACTCCGAGATCTGATCCGTACGTAAACCAATTGTTTTCACATGGCTGAACTCTGAATTGCTAGTGGATAGCTGTTGTTAGTGAAGCTTAAGGACTTGTGTATCTAAAATTGTGTGATTTTAACATATACTAGTCCATGAAAAATTGTGAAGTGGGATAACATCACAAAAGCAAACGGATCAAAAAGGGGATGGATTGTTGTATATGGTGTTTTTTTCCAGTCCTCCATTGCAGATTTTTAGCTTCATTAATATGAGTGGTTCTTTGATAATTAACTAGCACTGAAACATCTTAGAACTCGCTAGTGTTAGCTTCAAACTTTATCCTCTCCTATCGCTTGAGATTATATTGGAAATGTGTTTTAGTGATGCGTTTGCAATTGTTTGGCAAAGTTTTTTTTGGCTGGAAAAGCAACAGAACGAGGTGTTCTCAATTTCTTATATAGTTGGCATATGGTGACTGCCTTATCTTTTTAATGCTCTCCTGTGATGTTCTCAAAAGATATTTCGGAAGCAACTTGAAGAAAGGGATGCACGACCACGAAAATCTCCTAATTAATACTTCCAATAACATCTGAGTTTTAAAAATTTAATTTCTACAATATTGCACGCATATTCTATTGTTTCTTCTATTCGCACAACACTTCCTAACATACTTCCACGGGTATTTGAATAATTGAACTTCAAGAATTAACTTGAATGCTCAACTTCGAAGTTCATTCGTTGTTGAATCTACTTTTTTACTTCTCAGAGAGGGAAAACTCGGCAAGGGTAACATTGACATTAGAAAACAACTACTTCAAACTAACTTACTGTACTTTTCTGATTTAATTCTTTCTTCTATATATATATATGCGTAGAGTGCAGCATCTTTTTGAATAGTGTTAAATTAGCTGATCTATGGTTTAAACCTTCCCGACATGTTCAGGGAGTTGTCCATGTAGTGCCGAGATCTTGTGTGCCCCAATGTTCCTCGAGGCGGGCGGCGAACCTGATTTTTTAACCCGAAACGTGTCCTTCAGTTTCCTGAGACTCTTCTATATAGACTCACCGGCAGTATCTGACATTGATATGTATATGTGCGCGCGCTTCTGCATCAGGTATTTGTTGCTCATGGTAATGCGCCGTTGGCCCCTTATAGAAGATGGTATTTATGTCATATCCACTTTTTGATTATTTGGGCACGTAGATTTCCAAGTTAACATATATACTGTACAGCGAGCTCGAGTTACTTGTTTTGCAGGTACAGTATGTGTTCTGTAATGTAATATAAAATGATTTTTAATTGAAACTATAGAGAAATAATTTCTTTTTGTTTTTTACATTAACAAATCAAAATTATTCAAATTTATATTAAAAATATTAATTTAATAATTTAAAAAATACATCAAAAAAATCTAAAAAATAATTTCAACCATGAATCCGTACCTGTATACATTCAATATAAGGTCAAGATAATATAGTTTATTGCACCGTTGCAATGCTTGAACATTTATTTAAATATTTTTTGTGTTATAGTGGTTGTTTAACCTGTTTTTTATGAAAAATTTTAATTTATATTTTTAATTCAAATTAAATTTATATTTTTTTATTATTTTAATGTACTTATATAAAAAAATTAAATAAAAAATATTAATTTAATAAATTTATAAAAAAACCACTTTTAAAAAAATTCCCAACCATACAACAAACACCAAAATTCATTTCTAAGTTCTAAATAATTTTTTCCTTCTTTCCATTCATTATTCAACAGCTTGTGATCTTCGATCTGTGATGCTTTTCTGATGTTCTGTGCGGTCAATTTATTTATTCATGGTACGTACACGACTGTCAATTTCACACGTGAATAATTAATGAATATAGAGTAGGGGGGCCTGCAAACCAGGTCAGTCCATAATTTCATAGGCTGATCACCAGGAGCGTGGATTTCGATGTTGCTTCAGAGTCAGCCGACAGTGTTTTTTACCTCTCCTTTTTCTCAGAGCGCTTTCTCACCACCCATCTCTAACCCCTTCGCGATTGCCGGGATACTTTGTCCTTGTGATGAACCAAAAGGGTCCGGCTACCTAGAAATGCCACCGACCCCTCCCCTGTTGGCCCCCTTTCAAGGCGGATCGAACACCGACGATTATGTGGCGGTCTTCTCTCTCTTTTTGAAACGTTGGACTCATATTGACACCGGTTGTCTTTAATTTCACGAAAAGTTCGCTATTTTGAATTCTTTTTTTCTTCCTTCAATTTTCCTTATTTTTTATAAAATCTCACCATCCAAAAAAAACTCGGGTCTCCTATTCCTAACCCATACCCGAAACTAAACAATCACAAAATTGAGATCCAGCTGGCATGTATTGCAATAAAGATAACTTTCTTGACAAAAAAATAATATAAATTAAGTTGATGGCTTTAAACAAAACATGAGAGTTTGGTGTGAGAGGATATTGGTTTAATAATTAAATATTGATGCTTCGTTTTTAGCTATTTTCTTTTATTTGATTGGGTGTTGGATGTGGATATGCATCTGTGCAGTGGGGTGGTAATATCTCTTTGTTTCTTTTGGACCACCATTGTATTTTGCAAGACTATTAATTATTGGTTATTCATTTGATTAATCATTGATTATTCGATTTTTCAGAAAGTCTAAATAATTTACCAAATAAATTTTATAATAGTTTGCTAGTAATTTTATAATTTTATAGAAATTAATATTATAATTTTATAATATTATAATTACATATTGACAAGAATATTACTAACAATAATTTTATAGAAATTAATATTATAATTACATATTGACAAGAACATTACATATTGACAAGAATATTACTAATATTATAATTTTTCATAGTTTTATGCCCTTGATTAGTAAGAGATTGACATGTTATAGTTCGCTAGTATAGAAATTAGTGAAATAGTTTCTCGAATTCAAAGTGCTAGCTAGTAATGATGCATTGATGATTTTAGTGAGAGATTTGTCATCATTGATATTAATTTATTTGAATGTTTGATATTCTAAGAATACCCAGTAATTAATTGGTACAGTATCCATTTAAAAATAAAGTCACAAGGATAAATTAAACAATCACATTAAATTAATTTGACACAATACAAGTGATTTAAAAGAAAATGAAATTAAAAAACATAAAAAATAGAGATAAAAACTACGTAATCTTATATACTAATTTTTCCATATGATTATCTAGTTTTAAATGGGTGTTATATTAAATATATAGTCGACACTCCTGAATTACAATAAATTTGGGAATCCACAGTGCTTATGAGACAACTCCTTTCAAAATTCAAAGAGTAATTTTGCAGTCTATCATGCGCCTACCGTTAACCTAAAAGGTACCAAATCGAATCTAAAAATCATTCCTTCGTCAAGATAGTTTCGAGAGATTTGAATATTTTCAAAGATGACTCTTGGTTTCTCTCTTCCAAATCGATCAGAATCTTGATAGCGAAGGAAAAAATCAACAATAAGATTGAACCAAGACTAATAATTTCGACAGTTTTATCCTGCAATAATCTTAGTCAAAAACGGGGGGAGAAAAAAAAACCCAAAACAAGATGATGATCATAATTTTAGTGTGATTTTATGCGCTCATATATGAGTGTTGAGTCATTAAACAATGCAAAGTTAAAAAGTTATTCGTATCCCAACATTATGTTACTTTCCCACTTATAATCACTTGGTAACTCCTGGATTGCAACTTTTCTAAGATTAATGCAAACGTGTCTCCAATCTGATGACGGGAGTCGGTGTGGTGTTTTCAAAAAAGGAAGAGCATATGAGACGCCAGCCCCTTGCTCGCGAGACTTCGAAAGGTTTTCTGTAAGAACGGTGGTGGTAGCTGGGTGGTTAGGTCGAACTTGTTATGCATCAAATCGACAAGACGTGCTAGAAAGCGAGCCCCCCATTAAACCATTTTCTCCTTTTCTTTTCTTTTCTTTTTTTCTTTTCTCACACGTTTGCTTTTCTTTTCTTTTCTTTTTTTTCTTTTCTCACACGTTTGTATTTTAACTTTCTTAGGCAGATACATTTTTCTGTTTATTTGTGTTTGATATGTAGCTTTACAAATATAAATTGAAGTTGTCATAAGAACCAGTCAACCTGAATAGTAGAAGCCTGTGTCCAAGATAAAGGAGTGGTAGTGCTGGAGCCTGGTCACCTTAAATCAGGCCCATTTGTACCTCATAACTCTGTTGTCCGCACAAGAACAGCCCACCGTACTCTGATTGTGGACCAATTTACTCATAAAGAAGGATGCTTTATGGTTTTTTGTTTTTTTTTGGAAATAAACGAATAATTCTTTCTCATTTTTTCTTGTGATATAGCACCTGTAATCAAGGTGCAAAGATTTCTAATGATATCTGCCAGTATTGGATGATCATGTTCATACATGCAAAATAGGGACTTGAAAAGAAAAGGGAGCACAAAGACTAAAGCAATGCTTAATTGAGTTGAACTGAACAATACGTTCATAAACATTACAAGCTAAGTTGTTACTATACAATCTCTGAAGGAATTAATAAGAACATCCTCCTTCAGGTTATGACCTGCAACGCAAATTGAAAAGGTAAGAAACAAATAAGAGAATAGCTTCCCAGCTAGTACTGTATGGTTCTTTTTTACATCATTCTTTAATTGTTCCCACCAATCAATATTAAAGTAACCCCTTTCGCTTTAGAAAAGAATTCTTCTGTTCAGTTAATTTGAGTGCCTATTTTCAAAATAAATAAAGAAGGAGACGACAGTTTTAGAGCCGTTATTTATAGTTTATGGGGGTAAGAAAACTACAAGAGAAAGTATTGTATTGTTTAAGAATTACCTATAAAAACTATTTTGTTAATTTGATTTTCATCGCTTCTCCACTTGCGAGCTGGGACAATGTCATATAACTCCCGCACAGCCTGCCACGTGTGAAAAGATTTGCATATTTAAGGATACCAAAAAATAATTTTTTGTAAAGAAAAGGCTCCAGTGCAAGAAAAATATAGCATAGGCAATGGCACCAAAGCAGGCTTTGAATTACAGCTCCGACCCTCAATCATTGACACAATCAAAATTTTGAACTACTATTGAATTCCCATTGCTGTACAAGCCCCCCTGCTATCATTACTGTTGTAAGCCGTATTCCCAAATTATTCAACCCTTTCTGATAGAGGCCGCAAAGGGCACCTAAAAAGTTCCATTATCCAAACAAATCATCATGAAACTGACAGGTATTATGATAGAAATGGGCACTGGTGAACATATAGTCAGAGGCCCAGAGCCAGAATACACAAAACACAACTCCAAGAACCCAATCTGCAGCAGAAGATGAGTTAACTTCATAACCAATTCTAGGCATTGAATTTCCAAAATTACCTGCAAAGTATGGAGTTCATCAGAGTTCCGAACATTTAAAACCCCTTTGCAGCGGTATACATCCATGCCATCTTTCTTGTCCCACAGAATCTCCTCAAGCCACAGGCGAACCTTTGGCAGTTGGAATGTCAGGAATCATCAAGCACATATGTATGTGACAACAAAAAGGCGATCAGAGAAGGAAAGGAATAATTCTTTATAGAGAAAATAGAGTGCAGAAATAAGCCTAACAGCACAAGAAAGTCAAATAAAAAAAAAGGGATGTTAATATCTGAATTTCTGATCAGATTATGTTCGATCAAACCTCCTACAGGTGTCCCTGAAACCCTTATTTCCTGTACTGTCAGCTTTCACGAATGCAGCCAAGCAAGCACAAACCAGGATAACTCTAAATTCAAAATTCAATTTCTCATAAATATTTTGCAACAATGATATAGAAAAACCGAAGCTATTGGCCTTCAGAAGATGCTCATGCAGTTACAGATACATCCCAAAAAACCAAGCATGCACCTATGCAAAATGGGAACTTGAAAAGAAAAGGGAACACAAAGACTTAAGTCAATGAAAGAGCAACATCAAAATTCAAAAGCTATGTAGATATTCTATCATTCGTACACTATATAAAGGGCCGTAATTTTACCTAAGAGAAACAACAAAACAGAATTGCAATTTCCTTCATGTTTATGGATATGATAGCAATTCCCAGTGCAGCTGAACCAGAGTAAAAATCAGAGCAAGAAAATACTAGTCCTGGGGTGTATGCTTGTGACAAATGGCTTGGTTTCAGCAATATTGGACATAAGAGGAGCACATCACAACAAATTTGTACAGCTTGTTGATGATCCATTTCAAATAAACTACCTTATCAAGATCAACCTTCTGCGACTCACAGATACATAAAGTTCGCAAGCTGGAATCATGAAGATCACTGGTAGATAAAGACTTGCTTTCCTCTAATAACACTTCCAAATGACCAGAGTGCTAAGATCAAAACACAGAAGTATTCAAAAAATATCCATTCAAATAAAAATCAACATTGAAAATAGCATGCTGATAAGAAAAAAATAAATAAATAGGCAAAGCTTTATATGACTTACTTTGGAATCATATGCCCGGCAGTTTAATATCTTAGATAAGTCTACTTGACACCGAACAGAATGAATGATATTAGCAAGGGAGTTGATCTTATGTATTTCATTTTCTAGTTCCTTCAAAGCCTCTCCAGAACCTCCCAAAGAAACCAAATCAACCTTGTTAAGAATGATAACATCCTACAAGAAAAAACCTAACTTATGAGTTATTGGCACCTTATGTATCAATATAACCAATAAAGTAAAATTGGAAAAGAAGCGAGCAAATAATTTATCCAATTACAAATTGCATGTGCATGCATGTAGTAAAACAATCATACAGAAGTATGCACGTATGTTTAGGAACCTGCACATGGCACACATCAGGCTGCCAAATCACTACAGAAGAAAGGAGAATAAAATGAGAATTACCGCAAATGCTATTTGAAGAGAGGCTTCTGGAAACGAAGATGAATTCTGAAGCTTGTTGAGCTGATAATGAAGGTTTTTGGCATCCACAACCTGCACAAGCAGCAATTTGTTGTGAGAGTTGGAGACAGAGAGAAGGAGAAACAGTGGTAAGCTGTAATAAAAGATAACTAGAACGAAAAAAATAATAATTAGGGGTACTTAGAATATGTTATACTTGTATGGACACAAAATGATATTAAGATGGGAGGCATGCAGAACCACATACCTGTCTTTAGTTTGCAGAAAAATGAGGGAAAGGACAAAAAGCAAGCTTAAAACAAACTTGGATCATGAAGTAAGCTTCCAATTTAAACTCTTTATGCATGAACTTGAAAAATTATTTATTTTCCTCGATATCCATAGAAGGAAAGGGAAGGAACTCTATTTTCCATTCTCAAACATTTCTTTCCTTCATTTTATTCTAAGGCTGTGCACTATTTTATGTTGTTATTTATTGTTTAGCATCTTCATCTAATTTTGATTTTTAGCAGCTGATTAATGGCATAAATCCAACAAACAATTTGATAACAGCTTGAATAATTGAAAGGCCTGGATATGAAAAGTTAACAACCTAAGCTCTCAATCAGACAGACAAGTGACAGAAATAATTGAATTGTCAAAAACAAAACTTACAGTTATTATAGAATCAAGCTTGACAGCTGATTCCAACTGCTCATCCAGCCAAAGAACAGAAGCTAGTGGAGCAGGATTTGCTAGCCCTGTGGTCTCAAGCAATATATGATCGAGTCTACAAAAAATAGAATGATTGTTTACAAATTATTAAGTTGTGTCATAATTTATAAGCCTAAAGTAGTGATCAAGGGAATTTTGTTGACAAACTCTTATTTCCACGAACACTATGTTAGGATGGAAAGGGAAGAGAAGGACACGTATCTTTCAATCTTGTTGGGAGAACTTGGAAAGGACAAGGAGTGGGTGATTGGAGAATTTGCATAACTCCAAATCCCAAAACCCCAAATTAGGGTTTTAGGGAGGGAAAGGAACTATATTTATAATTTAACAAGCAGGGAAAGGATTGGATTGGTAATTTCATATAATACTTTACAACATTAACCCAACCTTTTCCTCCACTTTCTAATAATGATGGATATTTTCACTTTTATGAACGAAACGTTTTCTCCTCTCTCTAAATAAAGAAGAGGAAGGAACATCTTTCTCCATCTCCCTTCTATATATTCAAACAACAAGAAGATGACTACCCCGTATACGCATACCCTCTCCTTCTCTTCACTAGAAAACCCTCGCCTTCTCCAAACATCACGAAAAAATATGATAAAAAGAATGGCACAAGTCAAAACGCAATTGAAATCATAAAATCGTGACAGATGCAGATAAATCAAGTGCATTTTTTAAAGAAAAAAGAAAGTAGCAGCACCTTTCCTTCATCTGAACAAGTTGCTCTAGTGCTTGAACTAAACTATGCTTAACAGTGCAGCATACACAGCCATTAGCAAGTTCTACCCACTCTTCAACAAGAGCACCATCTTCTCCTTCATTTATCATTGCCCTCTCAACTCCAATTTCTTCACCAAACTCATTCAAAATGACAGCGATCCTCTTTCCATGTTGAGTATTCAAGATATGATTAACAAGCTACAGCGTAACCCGTTAATGTCAATAAAATTTGTAGCTCTAAATATTTGACAAAACAGCATTTGATTACTAAGACTCATTTTCTTCTGAAAGAAGATGCGAATCAATAGATAGGTAGAAATATAAATCCCTGATAAGCAAGCATCTTATCAATCAATGTTAACGAAATTAATTTATCAAGATTGCGAGGGGATTTTACAGTGGATTTGCCAGAGCCCAGATAGCCCGTGATGACGGTGACTCCAACAGGAACGTCTTCGCCTTGAAGTTGTTTTGAATGAGAGGAGGAGGGTTTTACTGGTACGGTTTCTTCAAGTTCAACTGCGAGAGGCGCATCGTCTTCTTCCTTCTCCATTTCAAAATATTCAATCACCTCGCTTTTCCATTCTGCTCCCTTTTCTTTATTAGGGGAATATAGAAGTGCGTCCGTTGCATTAAGGAAGCCCAGATTCCAAGGCCCGCTCAAAGGGGATGCACTAGCATCCTTGGGACAGGTGACCAAACTACCAAGCCAGCCCATATAAAAGGGGTTCGCATAAAAGAAACAGCGCTTTAAACAAACCTTTTGGGCCTTTTCATTTTATATAATAACCAGTTCATTTGCTGTGTTCCACCAAAATTTTTAAGAATATAAAAAAAATTATTAATAATTCAGATATTTTTAGCTTTAAACTCTGCAAAACAATGAATCTCTAAGTTGATGTAAATTAATTTATTTAATAGATTTAAAAGAAACTTAAATGATTTTTTTTATTTTTAAAAATTAATATTAAATAATAAAATTAAAAAAATAATACAAAAAATAAAAAAGAACATCAATCCATATAAATTTTTCAGACCAGTAATCTAGAACATCATATCAAAATTATCATGCATTAAGAAACGAAACTCATTTCCTAATAAATATAATATCAAACGATGGATTATCACTATTATTATTTATAATAATTTTTATTTTTATTATTGTTGTTGTTATTGTTGTCACTACTGTTACTACTACCGTTCATATTGCTACTATTATATACTGCTGTTATTATTACCTATTGCTATTGCTGCTACTGACCATTATCATTATCATTATTATCACCACCACCACTACTATAACTATCATTACCATCACTACTATTATTATAATCACTACCATTATCATTACTACTATCATCACTGTTATTATTACTACCACCACCAATATTACCACTAACACCACTATTATTATAATTATTACCACCATTAGCACTATCACTACTATTATTATCACTACCATCACAACAACTACTACCACCACAATTACCATTACTACTACCACCACCATCATTATTATTACAACTACCATAACCATTACCATCACCATCACTACTATAATTACTATTATTATCACCACACCGCCACCACTACATCAACCACTACCACCATCATTATTACCATTATCACTACTACTAATTACTATCATTACCACTATCATTACTATAACACAATAACTAGTATTGTTTTTGTTTTTGTGATTATTATTATTATTATTATTATTATTTATACTATTATTATAATTACTATCACAACCACTATAATTAATATCAATATTATTTTTATTTTTGTCATTAACATCATCATCATCATCATCATTATTATTATTATTCTTATTATTATTATGTTATAAAACCATACATCATAAATGAATGTTTAGATATTTTTTTATATTCCTTTATTATTATATCCATTTATCATTATTAAGTTAATTTAAATTTTTATTTTTTTAAGACATTTGAACCTCCAAGTATTTATATACATATATCTATAAATATGGAATTCATATGATCTCAATTATTTTTATATTTTTTATTTATTTTTTATTAATTATATTATTTTTATTTTATATGCTTTTGAAACATAGTTTTATAATATATTATTTCTAACAATAATAATTCATTTGTAGTATAATTATTGCAGCCACCGTAACTAATTCATTTGCAATACATTTGCAGCATACGATATTATTGAAAAAGATAGCAGACGAGGACTCCTCCGTCACTAATGACGCAGATTATTTCTATCTTTCCTTCTTCTTTGTTTTTTGTTTATATATATATTATATATATATATATATATATTTCAGATAAACAAATAACGTCGCATGGCTTCCAAGTTTAAGAAACTTTTGTCTTGCAGGTTAAAATAAGAAATCTTAAACAGATTACTAACTGGCTAAAAATCCCAAAGATGCATGTTTTATAACAGAAAATTATCGATTCACTCAGGGACCTGGGTAAGGGCGAAAAGCTGACAGTATACACTGCGAGTTGATACCAGAAATCTGTGACGAACATTGAAAAAGACAACTCACAAGTGGTTCAAAGAAAAAAGTCCCAAACATTTGAATTTCGCCGGGTTTCTATGGCTTTCAAACTTATTGAAGAAAAAATAAAGCATGGAGGAGTGCCTGACTTCTTTGGTGAAAATTGGAGTGGCATGTTCTATGGAGTGACGCCCATTCATTAACGTGCTGGGAGGAACACAAAACTGTTTAGGTAGAGGATTAGAAGAGACGCCCTTTTGCATAGATAGTTAAATATCATTAACAAGATATTTATCTCACTTACAAAATGAAAAATACCTTCAGTTCTTTAAATTAGCCCACTGTCAACCCGAATCCAAATCTGTAATCTTTTTCCTTATGATCCAGCTGCAAATGTAAATTCAAGACTGGTTAGGATACTTGCATGACTCAAAAACCTTGGAGAAGGAAGAGAAGAAAGAGGATGGAAAATCCGTTTAATTAAAGGAAGTGCACATGTAAATGGCCAGTAGAGGCTGACAAAAGATAATTTATCAGAAGTTCCAAAAAAAGCTGAAGCATCGTGCTGAGAATCTAAAGGCCCCCCACCTTTGCAGAAAGATTAATAAAGTTGAGACCCACACAGCGTTCTTCCAAAATACAACGAAGAGCATGCTGTTTCCAAATAGTCGATCCCAAAACATCTCTTCCATTAGACAGCAAGGAGTTCCTGTGCCACTACAAAAAGGGATCAATTACCAGCCGACACTATTTCTCCTGTACTTTATTTGGGAACGCAGGTAATGGGAACAAGCTGGTAGGATTTTTTAAAAATTTATATTATATTTATTATTCATTGGATAAAACATTTAGATATTTATAAATTATTCACCGATTTTCAAGTATTTATTATTTATTATTATTTATTGCTCAATAAATAAATAAACAAATATATTATATATATACACTACACACGTGTTTTATATATTGAAAATTATATATATCAAATAAAATAACTGCAAAAAATATCCAAGGTTAAATCGGTATAGAATTAAAATGGAATCTCTCCTCAGTTTTATCAGCAAGTCAAACTACAGCTAAACCGGTGCCATCAAAAAAGGCAAAGTCAACTAAAACTAATAGAATGCGAAGAAAGGCATATTTAGTTCACACTAATTATATAGAAAATAAATAAAAACGCCGGACATACCAAACTCCCAGTTCCCACTAAAATGCGCAAGGAAGTCATGATGTATCTGAAACAATCACAGGAATCGCCGGAATAAAATGTAGTTTTGAACTGAACTCCTTCAAAATAGGAGGGCAATAGGCATGTTCTTAGGTACGATCATCTATTAGATCAACTGCCTTGTTCTTTTTATGTGTGGAATAAAAATCATTCTTTTGGCAGCATCGGGACCTCTTGTCTTATGATTAAAATGTTTGATCTCCAATCTATAAGTTAATCCGCTCGAGGAAAAAATAATAAATATAATCTCTGTTTTAAACAGCGAAAAAATATAAAAAAACATTACTTTTCTTTCCTAAGAAAAGAAAAACTGGAGTCATATTGTCTTCTTAAAAAGAGCAGTAAATGTAATAATATGTATCGAAATTGCTTGTTAATTTATGGATGCATTAATTTAACCTGCTTCTTTGAGATTTTAACAGAAGTTTTGTAAGTTTTAAGTTGATAAAGTATCTCAGAATGCCAAGAATGTAAAACCAGATATATCCATAATAGCCTGCTCATGATGATCTTTAATTAAAAAAAGAAAAGAAAAAAGAGAAATTACTAGGGAAATTTTCAATTTGCAAAACGAAGGAAAAGAATGTCCCTTGGCATATACTCGGCGCATGTTCTCTACAATTCAGCGTGGAATGTGGACCTAACGCGGTTAGTTTCCAGGTCCAGCCATAGAGAAAACTCAAATCTTTAACGCCATGAACTGGAAGAGCTAGAGCCCAGAAGTGACTCAAGTGAGAACACAGAGGAAAGAGAAGACGACCCACTGGCCATCAACTGAGCATTACTAATAATGAGTGGATTATTGCTCCCTCCCCTGTGTCTTGTAATTAATGGGTGGGGTAGCTAAAGGGAACATCACGAGAATTTAAATTCCCTGGAAATCAATGTGGGAATATGTAGCATCAACAATGTACAGTACCACAGCGTAATCATAAAAAAGAAGAAGAGGAAATGTAGGAAAAAACATTAAAGGAGAAAAGCAATCATGGAAAGCAACCCGGGATTCAATTACAATAAAGGAAATCCAATGTATGCTTACTGTGGAATTTACACAGATGTGTGTGAATGCAGGACTTCAAAAAAACCCAATGGTCAACACCCCACCACTATCCTATCTTGTAATCCGCACCATCGTAAAAAAACTAAAACATGATTCTGCAGCACCATCCCATCATCACCTTTCACTTGCCTCCGTTTTTCTCTCATCCCATTTCATATCGTGTCGTGATTAAATCATCATCGAGTCCCTTTTAATCTCTATCCAATTTTATATAAGAAATCCAACTAACTACAAGTCTTAGTACGTACTGGCTAGCTACTTCCATATACGTCTTTTCTAGCTCTTGCTGCATTATATATTAGTTACTTATTGTTCTTCGCATCTCAGTCAATATCATTACCACCTCATTCTCCCTGTAACCCCAAATCTTTCTTCGTCTCAGTGCAGATTTGAAACTCTCCCTCCCTCCCTCCCTCTCTGTATGCGTGTCTCTATAGCAGTATACTCCCTGTCGATCATTGTTAACCAGATCGATTTCTGTATCAAAAGATCGATAATACAGGAATCAGGATGCTACTGAGAAGAGGCATTGCCTTGGTTATAATAGTGTCAGCAGCTTTTCAGATCCAGACATGCTTGTCACAGATTAACAGGGCAAGTTTTCCGAAAGGGTTTGTCTTTGGGACGGCCTCTTCTGCTTTCCAGGTTCGTGTCATTTATCTTGTAATTGATTATACCTTTTACTTTAAAAAGCCTGTTGAGCCTGTTTTTGTCCGTTAATCGGTAATTAACATTGTGCCTTTTTTTTTCTCCCTATATTTTTAATTAAAAAGAGAGCCCGTTCACGTTTAGAGGGAAAGAAAATACTGTTGAGATTGTGTTCGTGTTATTTTTTAGTTTAAAGTTCAACAATAAAAATTAAATTAAGCTCCCACCCATCTCTCCCAGGGATGCTTGCCTGATGGTTTGATTTACGTTGATAGTGGCTTGTAGCTGGGCTAATTGAACTATATTTAGTTTAAACTTTCCAAGTGATGAAGCCATGTTCATGAGATATACTAGCCGTGTTGCTTGATGTTATTTAGCCAATTGTCAAGTAGCCATTCCCGCGGTTTCTCATACTTCAACGTCTATAACACTCTAATTTTTTTTTTTTTTTTTTTGTGGAGGGGGGGGGTGGTTTTAGGGATGAATTTCCTTTTTTGAAAAGAAAAATAATCGAGGCCAGAGACTGGCCTTGGGGCTCGGGCCACTCCGAAGGAACAGTTGTTGTTCCCTAGTTTTAAGTCATGGGTTCTATGGACGAACCACTCTTTTTAGGACATTTGTACGTGGCCATTTTTTTTCAATGGTAAAGGAATGAAAAACACAGGTAACACCTTAGCTGTGGCACTGAACAAATCGACATTTTTTTTATTTTTATTTATGTGGGGTGTCCGGGCCAGCTTACGCGCACCACGACTAATCCCCACGGCCCACTGAACATCCTGCAAGCCCAGTGAGCAAGTAAGGCACCGCGGGGGTGACAGGCGTGCATGGTGAGGTTCGAACCCAGGTGCGGAGAAAAGGGACAAGCCCCTCCCATCGCTAGGCAAGAACCTTACTTGCACAAATCAACATTTTATTAAGATAATATGATTTAAATGATTCAAGAAAATAGAAACCTACAAGAAAGGGAAAATGAAAATTATTTTAACTATAATGTTATTGTTGCTGAATTGAAATCATTCTTATTAAAGTCCAACTGTTAATTTAAAACTTGATTAAGACATTTCTAACTTGAGCTGGATATATAAAAAAAAATCAACTTAGATTTAATTTAATCAACTCCATAAATTGACCTTAATCCATTAAAAACTTGAATGATTTAAAAAAAAAAAAAAAATAAAACAGTTTGACATTTAAAAATATTTAATTAACCTAAATTAACATGCCCGCGAATAATCTGAGCATGTTAACCACAGGTCAAGATTAACATCTGTGATTTAAATAAATGTCATGGAGTATTACAGTTTTCCCCACGTAAAGAGGGTTGCAGATCCAGCGGTTAATAGAACACTTGGGAAGATAAAAGAACAATTTCATCACTTATCTGACTGATGTGATGTACTGTTTAGACGAAGAAATTAGACAGCCCTAACGTGTTCACACTCTAGCGACCTGTTAAAGCAACTGTTCTAATTAGAAAAGGGGAACAAAAAGATAGTCAAGCATTAAGAGTCTTTAGTGAGCTGGCCTGCTGATCATACCACCAATTATGCTCTTCAGTATGGCATCCGGGCTTAATCATGGTGTACAGAAATTGAATAAGTTAAAAATGGCCGAATCTTTGGAAGAAAACCTGTCGGAAATTAGATTACTCCTTTTCTTCTTGGATATTGCTTCCACACATATGATTTGTCCGTATCTTGTCGGACGTGTTACAGTGAGCTGGAACGACGGCTCCAGCAAATGTTGCTTCTTACACAGAAAACTCCCTGCTATGCAAAAAGACCTTAAGAAATGCTTTACGTTTTCAACTTACTGCTTGTACTAAAATTAATTTTATTTTATTTACAGTACGAAGGAGCGGTGAAGGAGGATGGAAGGGGACCGAGTGTTTGGGACAAATTTTCACATACTTTTGGTAATACTTCATCACCAACAACAGAGTCCACAGTCTGAACATTGATAGGAATAGCTGATTTTCTAGCATTTGAACTAATCTTATGGTATAATTACTGCACAAGAAATCAGCATCAATTTAAAACTATAATTTAATGGAATTATTGTTCATTGCAATGGAAATCTGAACATACGAAGCAAGTCAAGCAAAATAATGAGTCTTCACTTATCTGTTAGTTCATTTTCAGAGTGGCTAAGGCCACTCCATGCTTAGCTTGTTTATATTTAACAGTCAAGGTAATTAAACACATCCCAGAGAATATCCAACCCTCAAAAAAAGAAATATTTTCTGGCAAGAAGATCCCTTAACATGTGCCTGGTTTATTATTGTACTATTTCAGTTTAAATTACCGAATCAAATTTTAGTTGTAGAAGTAGAGTAGTCCTGGATATCAAGTACTGAAGCTGCATAAAACCATTTCCGCTTTTTAGTTCAAACTTGCTATCAGATGATATGGGGTTTCTATTCGCTGCATGTTTGTAAATCCGCTTTAAACATGTAAAAGTGTTTGAACTTGCAACCATCGAGCTAGTAGGTGAATGCATAAAGCAAAATTGTGCAATGTCAGGTAGCAATTTGCCTCCCAAGCTAGTTCAGAAACCAGCTCTGAAGTTGGCAGTTGTCAGGTCAAGTTGTAGTTTCAAAACCTTTGATATGTCTGCTAGTAAGCTTATCAAGTTATTGGTCCTGCAGGCAAGATAATTGATTTCAGCAATGCCGATGTGGCTGTGGATCAATTCCACCATTTTGATGTACGTCTTCTCATACGAATCCTCCATTTTATGAAAGTTTGAGCTACTAAATATTGCTTTTAGACATGAAAGTCAATCATGG